TTTGTTTTACAGTGTAACATTGACTTGTTTTACAGTGTAACATTGGTTTGTTTTACTGTGTAACATTGACTTGTTTTACAGTGTAACATTGATTTGTTTCAGTACTTACACTCTTTTCGATCTACTTTTGTGTAGGCATAAAGGGATACATCTAAAATAAAAACAAATTGTTATCAGATTAAACTAGAACACTGACAGGTCTTTGTAGGCCTCATCATGTCCTGTAACCAACATCATACATTTTTTGTAACAGCGACCTTTACATTAGAAAGTTTTTAACTCATATTAGACATCTAAATATCTCCGTGTATCACCATGTGAAATTTCACATCATTTGTTAAAAAACTAACCAGGTACATCATTTGTTATAAAACTGACCAGGTACATCATTTGTTATAAAACAGACCAGGTTCATCATTTGTTATAAAACTGACCAGGTACATCATTTGTTATTAAACTAACCAGGTACATCATTTGTTATAAAACTAACCAGGTACACATCATTTGTTATAAAACTAACCAGGTACACATCATTTGTTATTAAACTAACCAGGTACATCATTTGTTATTAAACTAAACAGTAAATGGACCTTGAGGGTTTATTCTATCAAAAGTAAACATGCACAATTAAGGACCAAGGAAAACCTACAGAACAAATTTGAGAAAGATCTTTAAAGTATTTTCTGAGCAATAGCGAAAACAAACATTCACAGTCAAATATCAAAAAACCCTTGACAGCCATTTTGTTTATCTGAACCATCTCAAAATTGAACATGCTTAATAACAGACTAAGAGGAACCTACATATGCAATTTAAGAAGGATCCCTCAAGTCCTTCCTGAAAAATGACAATAACAAACCTTCACTGTCAAAATCCAAGTTGGCCATTTTGTTTACCCGAGCTGTCTCAAAATTCACCATGCACAATTGGAGACCAAGGGGAACCTACACATGAAATTTGAGAAAGATCCCTCATGTACTTACTGAGAAATAGCGATAACAAACATTCACTGTCAAAATCAAAGAGGACTGCCCGTGGGCTATTTTCTTTTATCGAGCTGTCTCAAAATAATGAAACATGCACAACAAGAGACCAAGGGGAACCTACATATCAAATTTAAGAAAGATCACTCAAGTGCTTCCTCAAAGATTGCGATAACAAACATTCATTGTCAAAATCCAAGATGGACGCCCATGGACAATTTTCTTTTTATCGAGCTGTCTCTAAATTAAACATTCACAACTAACAACCAAGCGATACATATATATCAAATTTGAGAAAGATCCCTCCAGTTCTTACTAAGAAATAGCGATAACAAGAATTGTTTAAGGTCCACGGACCACAGGCGACAAGCGATTTGAAAACCCCACCATCAGTCAGCAACCATCATAAAAATGTGTTCAATCCAAAAATCCAAGAAATAGGAGTAATTGTTTACATGACAGACTGAAGGGCGTACAGACAATAGGTGAAAAGCTACTTAAAAAGGCCACCATCTGATGATAGTGGGCTAAAAATCATGGGAGATCCTGTATATACTTAACCATCTAGCATTGGCACAGACTCGCTAGTGAGTGGAGCATCTGAGGCACTAAACTCTCTACTGTCTTTGGAATTATTTCGCTTATGTCGGCGCCGGAAAAAGCTTCGCCGTGCAGTTCCTGATCCCCTGCGAGTTGTGCCTTTGAGTTCATCCAAGTCCTGCAGACTAAGGCTGCCAGAATGACTTCGCCGCAGCATAAAGTCATCCTCAAGTCTACAATGGTAAATATACAGACTACTATCCTCAGGTCTACAATGGTAAATATATAGACTACTATCCTCAAGTCTACAATGGTAAACATACAGACTACTATCCTCAGGTCTTCAAAGGTAAATATACAGACTTCTATCCTCAAGTCTACAATGGTAAATATCCAGACTACTATCCTCAAGTCTACAATGGTAAACATAGAGACTACTATCCTCAGGTCTACAATGATTAACATACAGACTACTATCCGCAGGTCTACAATGGTAAATATACAGACTACTATCCTGAAGTCTACAATGGTAAATATACAGACTACTATCCACAGGTCTACAATGATAAACAGACAGACTACTATCCTCCGGTCTACAATGGTAAATATACAGACTACTATCCTCAGGTCTACAATGGTAAATATATAGACTACTATCCTCAAGTCTACAATGATAAACATATGCATACATACTACTATCCTCAAGTCTACAATGGTAAACATACAGACTACTATCCTCAGGGCTACAATGGTAAATAGACAGACTACTATCCTCAAGTCTACAATGATAAACATATGCATACATACTACTATCCTCAAGTCTACAATGGTAAACATACAGACTACTATCCTCAGATCTACAATGGTAAATATACAGACTACTATCCTCAGGTCTACAATGGTAAATATATAGACTACTATCCTCAAGTCTACAATGATAAACATATGCATACAGACTACTATCCTCAGGTCTACAATGGTAAATATATAGACTACTATCCTCAAGTCTACAATGGTAAACATACAGACTACTATCCTCAGATCTACAATGGTAAATATACAGACTACTATCCTCAGGGCTACAATGGTAAATAGACAGACTACTATCCTCAAGTCTACAATGATAAACATATGCATACATACTACTATCCTCAAGTCTACAATGGTAAACATACAGACTACTATCCTCAGGGCTACAATGGTAAATAGACAGACTACTATCCTCAAGTCTACAATGATAAACATATGCATACATACTACTATCCTCAAGTCTACAATGGTAAACATAGAGACTACTATCCTCAGGTCTACAATGATTAACATACAGACTACTATCCGCAGGTCTACAATGGTAAATATACAGACTACTATCCTCAGGTCTACAATGGTAAATATACTGACTACTATCCTCAAGTCTACAATGGTAAATATAAAGACTACTATCCTCAGGTCTACAATGATAAACAGACAGACTACTATCCTCCGGTCTACAATGGTAAATATACAGACTACTATCCTCAGGTCTACAATGATAATCATATGCATACAGACTACTATCCTCAGGTCTACAATGGTAAACATACAGACTACTATCCTCAGATCTACAATGGTAAATATACAGACTACTATCCTCAGGTCTACAATGGTAAACATACAGACTACTATCCTCAGGTCTACAATGATAAACATACAGACTACTATCCTCAGGTCTACAATGGTAAATATATAGACTACTATCCTCAAGTCTACAATGGTAAACATACAGACTACTATCCTCAGGTCTTCAAAGGTAAATATACAGACTTCTATCCTCAAGTCTACAATGGTAAATATCCAGACTACTATCCTCAAGTCTACAATGGTAAACATACAGACTACTATCCTCAGATCTACAATGGTAAATATACAGACTACTATCCTCAAGTCTACAATGATAAACATATGCATACAGACTACTATCCTCAAGTCTACAATGGTAAACATATCTATTAGACTATATAATTGCATTATCATTTTTAAGTATACCTGATCATGATTTAAGCTGTTGTTTTCCTTATTAAGGTATTCATGTATAATGAAGTTGGCAAACATCAGCTAACAATGGGAAACTTCGTAATGTTGGAATTCCCCCTGATCATGACGTCATTTTCGGTATGAGTTACCGCCCTTTGGGGAAACCCCGATTGTAAACAAATGGCGACTGTTTGTTACTTGCACGACCGTTTTAAGAAAATCTCGTCCAAGTTACTGTCAAGGGATTTGAAGTGTTTATAATTATTATTACAGCGGTGTTAAAGGGGAAGGGATTTGTGAAAATAGAGATTGTCTTCTTTTTAACATCATGAAGCTAGGTAGACATGCAGAACGTTCTGGGTGGAATGATAAGTGTTTTGTCCTGTTTAGTTGTGTATGGTTAATTTAATATAATTTGAAGTTTTTCTTATGTCTCCCTTACCTTTTTTTTGCAATAAGACTCGTTAGATTTCTACGTGGTTGACCAAATCGACAAAACATAAGCGGGCTAATATATCATTATTTTTCGAAATTGACATAGGAAGAGATTGATGTATTCATATATTTGTTTTGTTAGATGATGTAACAAGACAATCATGGTACTTTGAGCACATTACTTTCAATTATTTGATGTCAAGACAACTTACTGTGACACTTCAACTATCGTAAAATGGACAAAATTGGTCAAACTTGAGGGGGGGGGGGGGGGGGGGGGGGGGCCTAACTATACATTTTTTTGAAAATTCAGAGGGTAAAATTTTGATTTATTACGTTTTTTGCATTGTATAGAGATTTTTCAAGAAATTAAATTTGGTTTTTCATCTATATCTGATATAATTTGTTGTACAAATAATTTTTTCCACCATTTACCATGGAAAATGGAATACATGAATTTGAATTTCACGGCAATATTGAATATAAATAAATGCAATTTTTATTTTTGTGTATTTCTGGAAAGAGTTATTTTTTTCATATTTGTAATCTTCAATGTTTGAACAATTTGTCGGTATATAAAAGTAAATGGTTTGCAAAAAGTGAATAAAATCATAACTGTCTGCATATAGAAGGTTTTTGTCATTTTATTGGACTTCGAACAGAAAGTGGCCCCAGTGGTGTGTACTGATAAAATGCATCAAAACTGGAAAAATATGCTGTAAAAGTTCATAAAAATTTGGGAAATACTTCTCTCGCGTGTGTTGAAAATAGATTTATTTTTTTCACTTCCCAAAAAATGTGTATTATACATGGAATACCTTAAGTCCAGATAATGTCTTTATAATCATGTCAATTCTACTATAACTGGATAAAATACTACAATTCATTCTAAAGTAAATATTTCTAAAATAAACAGGACATTTTTCAACCAAAAATAAATCTTTTAGGTCTTTATTTTGAGTGCACTAACCTTTCTTTGCTGGGAATGGTGCCAGATTTGATTTTGTTGCAGTCATCATCGACCAGCCAGCCAAACCAACAGCCTGCCACACCCCTATACATTGTATTCTCTACCATCAGCACATTATCTTTGTAGAAACTTAATTCTCCTTCATTCTCTGCAGGACGGTCAAAATGAGCACGCACATAGAATAGGTCACCTGGTTGATCTTGGATCTGGTAGTATTCTTCAACACAAACAACCAGGTTTAACTATACACATAATTATTTTCTGTATACAGTATAATTGTAAACACACTTCCTTGGTGTATACAGTATAATTGTAAATACACTTCCTGTATACAGTATAACTGTACATACGCTTCTTGTATACAATATAAATGAACATACACTTCCTGTAAACAGTATAACTGTATAAACACTTCCTGTATACAGTATAACTGTACATACTCCTACTATATACAGTATAACTGTAAATACACTTCCTGTATACAGTATAACTGTACATACTCCTACTGTATACAGTATAACTGTAAATACATTTCCTGTATACAGTATAACTGTATATACACTTACTGTATACAGTATAACTGTACATACACTTCCTGTATACAGTATAACTGTACATATACTTCCTGTATACAGTATAACTGTACATACACTTACTGTATACAGTATAACTGTAAATACATTTCCTGTATAAAGTATAACTGTAAATACAATTCCTGTATACAGTATTACTGTACATTCATTCCTGTATACATTATAACTGTACATAAACTTCACATACACAGTATTACTGTACATACATTCCTGTATACAGTACAATTCTACATACACTTCCTGTAATCAGTACAACTCAACATACACTTCCTGTATACAGTACAACTCAACATACACTTCCTGTATACAGTATAACTGTACATACACTTTCTGTATACAGTATAACTGTTCATACTCCTACTGTATGCAGTATAACTGTAAATACACTTCCTGTTTACATTCAAACTGTACATAACTTGCTGTTTACAGTACAACTCTACATACACTTCCTGAATACAGTATAACTGTATGTACAGATTAATTCGACAGATACTTCCTGTATACATTATAACTGTACACACACTTCCTGTATACAGTATAACTGTTAATACACTTCCTGTATACAGTCCAATTCTATATACACTTCCTGTATACAGTATAACTGTACATACATTTCCTGTAAACAATATAACTGTAAATACTCTTCCTGTATACAATATAACTGTAAATACACACTTCCTGTATACAGTATAACTGTACATACACTTCCTGTATACAGTATAACTATATATACACTTCCTGTATAAGGTATAACTGTACATGCACTTACTGTATACATTATAACTCTACATACACTTCCTGTATACACTACAAGACGGCCTGATTCCCTCACCTGAATATTTAAGCAGTCATAGCACAATATTCTCATTAAATATGATATTGCACTAAAAATATTTCCCTCGCAAACTTTGTTGGCTCCATCTGTTGAAACTATTCTATGCTTTTTGATTCTTCTTCAGAAGTTGCTTGACATATTTTTCCTGTGACCTTGTAAGTAGGTCAATGTCATTTTTCTTCTAAAATTGGTTAGCACTATTCCAAAAAGCTACCAGCCAAATATTATAATTTTATGCCTTTTAATTCTTCATCAGAAGAAGTTTGAACCGTTTGACATATTTGTTATGCTGTGACCTTGAAAGTAAGTCAAGGTCATTTTCATTTGCAAACTTTTTTTTGGCTCTTTCCCAGGAAAAACCAACCAAATATTAAGGTTCTATACCTTCCAGTTCTTCAGCAGAAGTTGTTCTAAGCATTAGACATATGACTCCTGTGACCTTAAAAGTAGGTCAAGGTCATTTTCATTCGCAAACCTCGTTGGGCTCTTTCCCAGGAAATAACCAACCAAATATTAAGGTTCTATACCCTCCAGTTCTTCAGAAGAAGTCGTTTGAAGTATTTCACATATCTGCCTCATGTGACCTTAAAAGTAGGTCAAGGTCATTTTCATTCTCAAACTTTGTTGGGGTCTTTCCCAGGAAGCTACAAGCCAAATATTCAGGTTCTTTCAGTTCTTCAGAAGAAGTCGTTTTAAGCATTATACATATCTGACTCCTGTGACCTTGAAAGAAGGTCAAGGTCATTTTCGTTTTCAAACTTTGTTGGACTCTATCCCAGGAAGCCACCAGCCAAATATAAAGATTCTATACCTTTCAGTTCTTCAGAAGAAGTTCTTTGAAGCATTTGACATATTTGACACCTATGACCTTGAAAGTACATCAAACTAATTTTCATTCTCAAACTTTGTTGGGCTTTATCCCAGGAAGCCACCAGCCAAATATAAAGATTCTATGCCTTTCAGTTCTTCAGAAAAAGTCTTTTGAAGTGTTTGACACATTTGACTCCTGTGACCTTGAAAGTAGGTCAAGGTCATTTTCATTCTCAAACTTTGTTGGGCTCCATCCCAGAAAGCCATCAGCCGAATATGAAGATTCTATACCTTTCAATTCTTCTTCATACGTCGTTTGAAGTTTTTGACATATTTGACCCCTGTGACCTTGAAAGTAGGTCAAGGTCATTTTAGTTCTCAAAGTTTGTTGGGCTCTATCCCAGGAAGCCACCAGCTAAATATAAAGATTCTATACCTTTCAGTTCTTCAGAAGAAGTCCTTTGAAGCATTTGACATATTTGACACCTGTGACCTTGAAAGTACATCAAACTAATTTTCATTCTCAAACTTTGTTGGGCTCTATCCCAGGAAGCCACCAGCCAAATATAAAGATTCCATACCTTTCAGTTCTTCAGAAGAAGTTGTTTGAAGTGTTTGACACATTTGACTCCTGTGACCTTGAAAGTAGGTCAAGGTCATTTTCATTCTCAAACTTTGTTGGGCTCCATCCCAGAAAGCCATCAGCCAAATATGAAGATTCTATACCTTTCAATTCCTCTTCATACGTCGTTTGAAGTTTTTGACATATTTGACCCCTGTGACCTTGAAAGTAGGTCAAGGTCATTTTAGTTCTCATAGTTTGTCTGGCTCCTACCAACAAAGCTTTCAGCCAAATATCATGACTCTAGGCCTGTCCATTCTTCAGAAGAAGTTGTTTAAAGGAAAAGTTGACGGACGAGGACGGACTGACAGACGCCAGACGCCGCACCATGACATATTGCTCACTTGCCCTACGGGCAGATGAGCTAATAACTGTACATACACTTCCTGTATACAGTATAACTATATATACACTTACTGTATACATTATAACTGTAAATACACTTCATGTATACAGTACAAGAGGCCCAGAGGGCCTGTATCGCTCACCTGGATACCAAAGCAATCATGGCAAAATATTCTCCGAATGAGATCAAGGGAATATGCCAGACCCCAAGGCCACTCCTTGTAGCATATCTGTATTAGATTTTTCATGCCCAGCAATTTTATGTATTGTTATGGGGTGGGGATCTCAACAGTTTCCAAGCTTTGACTCAGAAACTAGGTCCCTAGGGTTGTGGCCAAACCCCAGGATCAATTCTAATATCATGACTGCATTTGTCTCTTTTTGCCCAGCATTTGTACATATAGTTTTGGGGTGGGGATCTCAACCGTTTCAAAGTTATGACTCAGGGGTTAAGTCTCCAAGGGTGGGGCAGTCCCCAAGGCCATCCTGGAAGCATATGTGCAATCATCTCTTTATACTCAGCAAATGTATATACCGTTATAGGGTGGGGATCTCAACTGTTTCCAAGCTTGACTAACAAACTAGGTCCCTTGGGGTTCGGTCAGACCGTAGGGTCTATTCTGATATCATGACTGCATTCGTCTTTTTATGCCCAACATTTGTATATATAGTTTTGGGGTGGGGATCTCAACAGTTTTAAAGTTATGGCCCAGGGACTATGTCTCCAAGGGTGGGGCCAGACCCTATAGCAATCCTTGAAGCAAATGTGCATTCTTCTCTTTATACTCAGCAATTGTATACCATGGTTATATGGTGGGGATCTCAACCATTTCCAAGTAATACACTTTTTTTTAACCCCACCCCTTAGCCAGGGGGGTCAGCCCCACCATTTGTACAATTTTGAATCCCTGCCTCCCATGAATGCTTCCGACCAAATATGATCAATATCCATGGCATATTTCTACAGAAGTCGTAGATTGAACCCTTTTGGCCCTGCCCCTCAGCACNACCATTTGTACAATTTTGAATCTCCACCACCTAGGGATGCTTCCAGTCAAATATGGTTGATATCCATATCTCAGTTCCAGAGAAGAAGTCGCTGAAAGCAGTATAGCCAAATTGTCCCCTTTTTGCCCCGCCCCTCAGCCCCCTGGGGGGGTCAGCCCCATCATTTGTACAATTTTGTATCCCCATCACTTACNGCCCCACCATTTGTACAATTTTGAATCCCTGCCTCCCATGAATGCTTCCGACCAAATATGATCAATATCCATGGCATATTTCTACAGAAGTCGTAGATTGAACCCTTTTGGCCCTGCCCCTCAGCACCTGGGGGGTCAACCCCATCATTTGTACAATTTTGAATCCCCACCACCTAGGGATGCTTCCAGTCAAATTTAGTTGAATTCCAATCAGTGGTTAAGAAGAAGAAGTCGTTTAAAGAAATTGTTGACGTACGGACCGACGGACGGACGACGGACGCAATGGTATGGCATAAGCTCACCTTGGTCCTTCAGGACCAGGTGAGCTAAAAATGATTCTGACATAGATTAATATTGCATTAATGTATATCAATTTCATAAATGCTGAAATTGTGTAAAATTAATTATCTATAAACAATTAAAAATTGACATTTAATAATAAAACCATATACACATAGTAATTGCATGTAAGAGTTATCGCTCTTGAAAAACTTCACAGAAGTGAAATAGGTAGCCGGTTTCCTGAAGTACAGAAAAATGGACACATGTGACTCGTTGAATTAATGCCTGGATTGCTTTGAAATACTTTAGCATGGAAAGAACACACTGTTCTGTCAATAAACAACATACAATATTCATCAGTTTAATATTAAACATTTGAATATGCGGAAATTGTGATACTGTCTCCCTCCATTGGGTTTTCAACTAGGGATGTACTTCCTATTTCCGCTAAGCAATACACTCCTATGACCTTAACGTACTTTATATCATACAGTAAAACCATACATTAACTTCATTTAAACGGTACAGTAAAACCATACTTTAACTTTCTTTATACCATACAGTAAAACCTTACATTAACTTCCTTTAAATCATACAGTAAAACCATTCATAAACTTCCTTTATATCATACAATAAAACCATACATTAACTTTCTTTATACCATACAGTAAAACCATTTATTTACATACTTTATACCATACAGTAAAACCATACATTAACGTACTTTATACCATACACTAAAACCATACATTAACTTTCTTTATACCATACACTAAAACCATACATTAACTTCCTTTACATCATACAGTAAAACCATTCATTAACTTTCTTCATACCATACACTAAAACCATACATTAACTTTCTTTATACAGTACAGTAAAACCATACATTAACTTTCTTTATACCATACAGTAAAACCATACGTTAACATCCTTTATATCATACAGTAAAACCATACATTAAATTCCTTTATATCATAAAACTGTATAATTTTTTGGTCAGTTCTGAGAGAATGTTGGAAAACATAGGTAATATATATATGAACTTTTTTATTTTACAACAATTATGAAACAAGTTATATCAACTTATATTAATCACTCTTGTTGGCCCAGATGTTAGCGTGCATGGGGTCTTAATGTGGGAGGAAACAGGAATACTCAAGAGAGATCCCACATGGTCGGGCAGGTGACCCTATACCTTTTCACATCCTATTAGGGAATCGAACCCCAGTTGCCTCGGTGAAAGACAAGTACACTATCCACTGCGCCACCCGACCACCTGGGCCACCCGACCACCATCATAGCTAGGACACATATGGTAGTTTTTAATCATAAATGGGATCCTAGCTTTATTGAAGAATAGCCAGGATGTGAGAATACTCCTGGGTCAACAGTAATTATACCTACTTTCTGGATTGTACTGAACCTTCAATCCCACCGCCAGACAGGACTTGGAAATCTCAGTGGATGCAAATTCTGCCGTCACTGAGGAGAAGTCTACCCCGTTGTACTGCAAATAAAAAGGAGAAAACCAAGTCAAAATGGAAAGGTCGGGCTCTTCAGGAAGCAACATCACATAGTTTATTCCAATAAATACTGTGGTGAATATGTGAAGACATGAATAAAAGGCTGAAGAAGAGTTGTTATTCTGGACCATTTTTAGAGGGAAGTAACAATATATACCTCACAAAGGCAATGACCAATGTCAGCCAAAATGATTATTTAAAACAGTTGAAACAAGAGGCCCAATGGGCCTGCATCGCTCACCTGGTATTAATCTCACACTTGTAATCTTAAAAGTGGACTAAAATACAGCTACAGGCAGAATATCAGTGTTTGATTCATAAGAACCTATTAAAAGATTTAAACATATGACACCTGTGACCTTGAATGTCGAACAAGGACATCAGGTTGAAAGTGGATCAAGGTCATTCATTTGATTAAACTTGGTAGTCCTTCATCCCAGCATGCTACAGGCCTAATTTCAGTACCCTGGGCCTTTTGGTTATTGAGAAGAAGTTTGTTGAAGATTTTAAAACATTTGACCCCTGTGACCTTGAAAGCTGGTCAAGGTCATTCATTTGAACAAACTTGGTAGCCCTTCATCCCAGCATGCTACAGGCCCAATATAAGTACCCTGGGCCTTTTGGTTATTGAGAAGAAGTTGTTTGAAGATTTTAAGACATCTGACCCCATTGACCTTGAAAGTGGGTCAAGGTCATTCATTTGAACAAATTTGGTAGCCCTTCATCCCAGCATGATACAGGCCTAATATCAGTACCCTGGGCCTTTCGGTTATTGAGAAGAAGTTGTTTGAAGATTTTATGACATTTGACCCCTGTGACCTATAAAGTTGGTCAAGGTCATTCATTTGAACAAACTTGGTAGCACTTCATCCCAGCATGCTACAGGCCCAATTTCAGTACCCTGGGCCTTTTGGTTATTGAGAAGAAGTTGTTTTAAGATTTTAAGACATTTGATCTCTTTATGCCCAACAATTGTATATATAGTTTGGGGGTGGGGATCTTAACCGTTTCAAAGTTATGACCCAGGGGTTAAGTCTCCAAGGGTGGAGCAGACTCTGGAATCAATTCTAATATCATGACTGCATTCGTCTCTTTATGCCCAGCATTTGTATATACAGATATGGGGTGGGGATCTCAACCGTTTCAAAGTTATGACCCAGGGACTATGTCTCCAAGGGTGGGGCCAGACCCCTGGACAATCCTGGAAACATATGTGCATTCTTCTCTTCATTCTCAGCAATTGTATATATGGTGAAAGGGTAGGGATCTCAACCATTTCCAAGCAATAAACTATTTTTGGCCCCACCCTTTAGCCAAGGGGGTCAGCACCACTACTTGTACAATTTGAATCCCTGCCTCCCATGAATGCTTCCAACCAAATATGATTGATATCCAGTGCATAGTTCTACAGAAGAAGTAATTTATAGCAATATAGCCAAATTACCCTATTTGGCCACCCCCCAGTCCCCTAGGGGGTCAGCCCCACCATTTGTACAATTTTGAATCCCCACCTCTCATTAATGCATCTGACCAAATATGATTGATATCCAGCGCATAGTTCTACAGAAGAAGTCATTTTATCAATTTAGCCAAATTGCCCCCTTTTGGCCCTGCCCCTCAGCCCCCGGGGGTGTCAGCCCCACCATTTGTACAATTTTGAATACCCACTACCTAGGGATGCTTCCAGTAAAATATGGTTGATATCCATCTCTTAGTTCCAGAGGAGAAGTCGCTTAAAGCAATATAGACTAATTGATCCCTTTTGGACCCGCCCCTCAACCCCCTGGGGGGTCAGCCCCACCATTTGTACAATTTTGAATCCACACCACTAAGGGATGCTTCCAGTCAAATATGGTTGATATCCATCTCTTAGTTCCAGAGGAGAAGTCGCTTAAAGCAATATAGACTAATTGATCCCTTTTGGCCCCGCCCCTCAACCCCCTGGGGGGTCAGCCCCACCATTTGTACAATTTTGAATCCACACCACTAAGGGATGCTTCCAGTCAAATATGGTTGATGTCCATTGCACGGTTCTACAGAAGAAGTCATTTATAGCAATATAGCGAAATTGTCCCCTTTTGGCTCCGCCCCTCAGCCCCCTTGGGGGTCAGCCCCACCAATAGAACAATCTTTAATCCCCGCCTCCCATGAAAGCTTCTGACCAAAAATGTTTGATATCCATTGCACAGCAATATTGTCTCCTTTTAGCCCCGCCCTGCCCCTCAGCCACCTGGGGGGTTAACCCTACCATTTGTACAATTTTGAATCCCCACCACCTAGTGATGTTTCCAGTCAAATTTAGATTAATTCCAATCAGTGGGTAAGAAGAACAAGAGGCCCAGAGGGCCTGTATCGCTCACCTGAATATGTTTAAAATAATTGGTATGAAGTAGGTGCTGTAAGTGCATATGAAATTTCAGAAAGATCCATCCAGTACTTGAGATATAGCGAGAACAAACTTCAAACAGATCCCCACCCCTATGCAACCTAGGGGGGTCATCCCCACCAATTATACAAAATTGAGTCCCCTTGACCCAAGAATGCTCCAGACTAAATAAGGATAAAATCCCATAATCCCAATGGTCGAAGAAGGATTTTTAAAGTTTTACCTCTATTTCTCCTATTGGGCAAAATCTTCCATTTATAAATTTTCAATTCCCTTTGCCCAAAGATTCTCTAGAACAAGTTTATTAGGTTAAAATCCCTTCAACGGTACAGAAGGAGAAGGATCTTTAATGTTTTCTTCTATTTTCCCACTCATAGGCCCCAAAGAATGGGGTCCACATACCTCAATTTAAACAAAATTGATTCTTTTGTCCCTAAGCATGGTGCGCACTGCATTTTGTTTAAATCCCTTCACTTGTATAGTAGGAGAAAAAAAATCCTCTATTTCCCCTATTGGGCCACACCCTCAGTTTATACAAACTTGAGTCTCCTTTGTCCAAAGATGTTCTAGGATAAATTGGGTCAAAATCCTTCTATTGGTTGAGAGGAAGAAGATTTTTTAAAGATTTACCTATTTTCCCCCTATTTGGCCTTGCCCCTCTGGCCCCCAGGGGGACGATACCCTCTGTTTATACAAAACTGAGAACCCTTTGGCCAATGATCCTCCAGACCAAATTTGGTCAAAATCCCTTCATCGGTACAAAAGGAGAAGGATCTTTGATGTTTTCCTCTATTTCCCCTAATGGGCCCCACCCATCTGCCCCTAGAAGGGGGCCCACACACCTCAGTTTATACAAAATTGATTTTTTTGTCCCTAATCATGCTTCAGACTGCATTTGGTTTAAATCCCTTCACTGTTATAGCAGGAGTAAAACAATCTCATTACTTCATAACCCAATCTCCTTACTTCATAACCCAATCTCTAAAACAAGAGGCCCAGAGGGCCTGTATCTCTCACCTGAATATAATTTGTGTAATTGGTATGAAGTAAAGATATAGCACTCCATGGTAGGTGCTGTAAGTACATATGAAATTTCAGAAAGATCCATCCAGTACTTGAGATATAGAGAACAAACTTCAAACAGAGCCCCACCCCTATGCCCCTACGGGAGTCATACCCACCAATTATACCAAATTGAGTCACCGTCACCCAAGGATGCTCCAGACTAAATAAGGATAAAATCCCATAATCCCGATGGTCGGAGAAGGATTTTAAAGGTTTTAGCTCTATTTCTCCTATTTGGCCCCGCTCTTCTGCCCCCTTCGGAGACCACACCTACTGCTAATACAAAATTGAGTCCCCTTGGCCCAAGAATGCTCCAAACTAAATTAGGATAAAATCTCTTAATCCCTATGGTAGAAGAAGGATTTTAAAGGTTTTACATCTATTTTCCCTATTGGGCCCCGCCTCTCTGCCTACATGGGGGTCAGACACACCGTTTATACAAAATTGGTTCCCTTTCACCCAAGAATGCTTCAGACCAAATATGGAACAAATCCTTTCATTCCTACAGAAGTAGAAGGATTTTAAAGAATTTACTATGTGTTCCCTATTGGGCCCAGCCCCTCAGGTCCCTCCGGGGCTAGACCCCTGGTTTATACAAAATTGGTTCCCCTTTTCCCAAGGATGCTTCAGACCAAATATGGAACAAATCCTTTCATTCCTGCAGAAAAAAAAGGATTTTAAAGAATTTGCTATTCTTAAGCACTTCCTAACCCAATCTCCCTACTTCAAAACCCAATCTTTCTACTTCATAACCCAATCTCCTTACTTCAAAACCCAATCTCCTTACTTCGTG